GGCCGCGTGAGTTCGTCATACCAAATGGGCGAATCTCATAGCGCAAGGGTGTCCTTGCTTGTTAGAATCATGCATCATGTTACCATCATCAAGTACAATTACATTGATTCCATAGACTTCATGTAATCATTATCAAGAACAATCAAATTGATTAAATGTGCCATCATGTAATTATCATTAAATATTTATCATCATGATTCATCAAATTGTGCATATGATATAATATGCCATATCATGAATATTATTATACTTTTTGTGGACATATATATGTAAATGTATATGTCTATGAATTATTCTACAATTCTAGCGTGGTACCACTCAGCGGTTTCGCTGAGCGTGTAGTTTGTATTTTTCGTTGACTACGCGTTGGTAATAAGAAGACAATGATGGAACCATTCCCGGAGGGCATTGAGTCAGAGGAGATGCAAGGATGGAAGGCAAATGTTTGATCATCATATTTTAAAATGTGTCATGATTAAATTATTACTGTACTTCCGCATTACTCTGAAAATATTTTTAATGGGTCGCGAACCAGAGTCTGTAAATTTAATATTTATCAGAAATTGTCATTTTCAAAGGTCAAGTGAAATTTTTATTTAACTCTCGTTTCACCTTAATTCATGTAATTCCGTGTTATACGGATTGGGGTGTTACATTTCGGTATCAGAGCAAAACGATTTTCGGATCATTGAGTCAGTATTTTCAAAGTGCTGCATCCGCATCCTCCACGACATCTCTGCCCCGGGAAGGTAATCAACAATTAAGTTACTATGGCATAACACGTATAGTTAACTCATTGAAAATTTACTTCTTTTGAGTTGCTAATATCCTCATAGACCCGATTGCGATAAAGTATTAATTGCTTTAGAATATTCTTCAACAATCACAGTCGACATCAGAAGATCAAGAAAGGGACTGTAAACCTGATAAGCGCGACATATACGTATGCCATAGCACGCAAATGGCTAAGTGAACGATGTGAATCAGCTTCTCACAACCCGAAGAATACGTTGAAGAAGGAACTTTCTTCGATAGAAAGTGAACAAATCCCCAAAAGTGAACCTATCGTTTCTAAGAACAAGAATGGAGCCTCACAAACCAGATCGAATACGGAATATGTATCGAATCTGAAGCGCATTATAGGGGTGAATCTACATACAACCATTAAGATAATTTACTCGTTCGTATACCCTATTGACGCAAAAAGTCACAACAAGATGACAGTACAAAACAAGATCTGAAACAGTCACACCAACAGTGAGAGACTAGAAGATTAAAAAAAGATTAATATTTACATGGTACATATTGATGTTGGAAATAAATACTCTTCTGAAATGCACTGGTCATGCAGCTTAGAACGATATTTATGACTAACACATAATGTACATGAACAATATTATTTCAACTTGGAAATATTACAAATGTAACTCTAAGTCCAATCTTTCAGGATTTGCAAACTCGTCATAACTAGCACCTGGGAAAGCATTAGCAAACTCTAGCT